TTTCTTTAAATCTCAGGTTCACAACTGTAAAATGGGACTAATTAGCTACTTCACAGAGTTGTTGAAAATGTGAAATGAGAAAGTCCAAGCACAGTGCTTGGCACATAGGTGTTTATTAAATTCCTTGGAATCATGTGGAAATTGTTTTTTGATATGTGCATATGAGCAGATTTCTTGAGATTGAGTGAGTTCATGGCTTTCTTCAGATTTTTTTTTTTTTTGTCTTTTTCCGTGTCCGGCAACGGATCGCAACCCTCGGTGTTGCTCCCGCGCCTCGCTCAGCCAGTGAGCGGGAACCGGTCTGTATGTGGGATCCGAACCCTCGGGCGGGAGCGCCGCCGCGCTTCCCAAGCGGCGCACTATCCAGTGCGCCACCGGGCCGGCCCTTCAGATTTTTGAAGAAGGTCATGATCACCTTCCCCCTCCATCCTCACTGTCATGTAACAATAAGAACACTGACTGCCCCAGAGTAAGTATTATAACCATAAATGGTACCTTAGTAGTCTGGCCAAATTAAGTGTGCCTCATAGAGGTGATTAAAAAAGAAAAGACAGATTTCAGCCTTTTGATTGTTTGCTGCTATCTTGATGTTAAATTAAAATTTTCAGCTTTATTCTCAAATATAATTGTATTTTTAAAAAACAGTGTTTGCTCTTGAAGAAAATAGCTATAAAATATTAAAAACTTAGGATCTATATAAAAATGAGACGATTTATGTCATAGAGGGAATCTTTCTATAGACCGCAGCTTAAGTTTTTCATTATGAAGGAAAAAATGATTTGATATGGATCTTTTTATAATATGCTTTACTAGTGCATAACATATTTGAGACAAAATAATCTGGTTTAAAAGGAAACATAAGATCACATCTCTTGGAGTTATACATGCAATGATTTACTGGGCACATTGTAGATGTGTTAATCTACAGTAACACTATTTGAGTGTCTGTTTTGGACAGCAACACCTCCCCTCCACTAGAGAAGAAGTGTTAGAGAGCTCAAATCTCAGTCTGGGAAATACCATACCATTTAGTCATTATGCATAGTGTTGGGAGCCAGACTGCCTGGATTTCAGATCTACCTTGGGCAAGATACTTACTCTCCTTGTGCCTCAGTTTCCACATCTATAATATTTGGATACTAATTATATCTGACTCACAGGGTGTTAGGAGAATTAAATGAATTAATATTTGAAAAGTTCTTAGACTATTCCCTCATTTCATTGTAAGCACCATGAAAGTGTTAAATAAAAATATTTAATGGACTTAAAAGAATACTTATACCTATGAAAGGATAATTTACAGGATAAGACAGTGTATGCTACAGTATATGCAGATTAGGTTCCCTAAAATTCTTCAAGGTGGAGAAATTCAGTATGGATTGGATGTGTAGTATAAGAAAACTTAAGAATTCAGTGAAGAAGAGTATATCATGAATTGGATTTGGATAGGTAGTATTCAGATAGAGAATAAAGAATCGGCTCAAATTAGAGGGAATGAACAGAACTGGAGGGAATTTAAATAGGCCATATTAAGTTGGAGAATAAGTAGAGAAGCTATTTTAGGAAGGTAGATGTGGACAAATTGTGGAGGTCTTTGGATACAAAGATAAGGCTTTGAGACTTTTGTTTGTTTTGAGGGTTCCCCAACTTTTAAGAAGGAGAAGCTTTACAAAAAGAGTTTGTAAAAAGTGCTTAGCCCAGTACTTGGCAGAAAGCAAGCATTCCATAAATGTTAGCTAGTGTTAATAGTAGTAGTAGAAATAACTGTGTTGTGTTTCACTATATGGATGGGCTATATTTGTATATTTTTAACTAATTACTTATTGATGAACACTTTGGTTATTTCATTGTTTTGTGGGTTTTTTCTCCTTAAAATCAATGCTGTGATGAGCACCCTTTCCATAAAATTGTTTTATATATCCATGGTTCCTTAGGAGAGACTTAATACTGTCCTTTAAATTTAAACATGGGAGGGTTATAGTAAGTTTCAGAGGGTATGGTAAAAAGGAAATGAGGGAGCTTTACCAGCTCTAATGCACTTTTTTCTTCTGAGAAATCACCACAACACTCATGACAAAAAGGTTATTATGGTATTAGCTGCCAGCAGGGAAATTGTTCAAGTATACTTATTAAAATGGTAACTTATTAGGGAACCCTTCTATAAATTATTTTAAAAAGTTGTTTGTTTTTGTTTGTTTGCTTATTTTTTAACCAGGTAATTTTTGGGAAGATAATTTGGCATGCACAGCAGAGTGTGAGGTGAGACTAGAGGTGTTATGGCGTACTATGAGATTGTCATAGAACCCCAGAGGAAATATGAAGACAAGGCTTGGCAGGTTTTTTGGGACTATGAACTGACAAGGGAGTATGAAGATATTTTTAAGGTTCTAAACCTTAGCAACTTGGAGAATGTGATTAAAAACTAAAGTCAAAATGGAAAGCCAATTTTGGAGGGAAGGTAGTTCAGTTTTAAATATGTTTGAAAAAGAGAGACATTTAAGTTGACCTATCTATTAAATATTTGGCTAGGATTCAGATTTTGAGTTTCTTCTATCTGGCATTGATATTGAAACCATGAAGATATATTGAATTCAGATAAATAACACAGCTAGTTAAGTGGCAAAGCTGAGATTCAAATACACAATGGAGTACTACTCTGCTATAAAAAAGAACGAAAACTACCATTCACAACAACATGGATGGACTTAGAGAAAATTATATTAAGTGAAACAAGTCAGGCACAGAAAGAGAAGTACCACATGTTCTCACTTATTTGTGGGAGCTAAAAATAAATAAATAAACCAATAAAGGGTGGCAGGGGAAGAAGACACAACAATCACAAAAATTCCTTGAACTTTTTAAATCAAGTGAACAGATATGATGGGGTGGAAAAGGGGCTGAAGAGGAATAGGTAAAGGGGCATGAAAATCAACTACAATATATATTGAGAAGTAAAATAAAATTAAAAAAAAAAAACAAATACAAAGTTCTAAACAAAATAAATAAATAAAATAAAGAAAAAACAAAAACAAATCCTAAGTTCTGCTCCAAAGTTCATATTCTTAGCTCCTATGCTATAATGAGTGGGTAAAGTCCCTTATTCACATTTATTGCAGTAACATATTTGGTCTTCTTATTTTCCAAGTTATTTCTTTTGCTGTTTTGCCATTTAATTTATTTTTTGTCCTTTTCTGTGTAATCTTTATTTCATGTAATAAAATATCTTGAGTAGTGTAGCTTGGGTCTTGAAAACAGGCATTCCTGGATTTGATCCCCAGCTCTGCCATTATATCCTATCTGTGAACTTCTTAGTTAATCACTAAATCCAGTGGCCTTTCGTAGTGCTAATTTTCCTTGGTGTGCCCACAGCAAAAAAGTTCTTCCCTAAATCTAGGTTTCTTCTTCAGTAGTAATTCATCATCCTAGCCTTTTTATTTGTTTTCTTTAGTTTTTATGTTTTGTTTCATCCTAGCCTTTTATCTGTTTTGCCTCCCTTCTCTGTACTTTTTTCTGTATATCACCTAAATGTGACTATCTCTACATAGCTCTGAACTCAGAGGTATTCCTTTTTTAGACATGTCAGCTGTCTCTGGATTCTGAGTATATTTCCTCTTTAATAACTCTTGATTCTGTTCTCTCTTTTCTGTCTTCATGGTCTGAGTTCAGGCCCTTTTGTTTTTCTCTCCAATTTTGTGACAGTGTCTTGTCTTCCAGATGTGGTCCTGTCCATTCTAGTCCAACCTCCCCTCCTATCCCAGAGCTACTCTTAAAATACAGGCGTTCTGTTTCCCCACTGCTTCAAACTGTTGGTTTGAAGTGATTCTGCATTGTCAACAGGACGATTTAACAGTTATTCCTTAGGATGAATTGGGTATTTCTCCAGAGAAAAAGAGGTTCAATGCTATACAAAAGAAATGCAGAGAAAAAGATCAAATGAGTTTGGGAAGTGCTTGTATAAATGCAGATAGCCAGGCTTTCTTTTGGCAAAATCTTAAAGCGCTAATGTGCAGTGTGAATGTACAAAGAGCAATATATAGCATTTCCCAAATATACCTTATTGTAGTATACTTTTTAAAATATACATGTTCAGTATTTTGGAACAGGTTTTATTAAGACCCACAAAGTAGAGTTCATATTTCTAGAGGTGGAATTATAGGATCTTTGAGATGCAGCCGTTTTGTATTTATGTAGTCTCATCCCTGGCATTGACCATACCAACATGGCATTCCCCATGGGACAGGGTCATGTGTTTCAGGCTTCAGTAGCTTCACCCATCTCTCAGGAGAAACCCCTACTACTCCTAAAGGGAAGATCATTACCTTCTCTCTGAAGCCTTTGACTCATCCAGGCAAATGTTATACTTCCTTTCTCAGCACTCTTCTTACAGTATACTTGGCAAGACTCTCCATTTTAGCATTTATCATATGGAACTGTAATTCTCTTTACATTTTAATTTCTCTAATAGGCTGTAAGCTCCTTGAAGGCTGGTACCATTGTCCTTTCATTTCTGTGACATTAGTACTTAAGATAATTATTACATATATGTTAAATGATTGAATTATAATTTCAGAACCATTTTGAATGATACTGGTATTCATACAGTAAGTAAAACACCAGTAGATATTTTTTACTTATCTTAGAAATCTCTTAGACTCTTTCTATGCATAGGTAAAGTGGCATCAAATTAAATGCTCTAAGAAAAATTTTGTTCCACACAAAGATAGAGGAGAAAAATTAAGAAGAAGTACTTAGCGTTTTCTTTGTATTTCTCATAACTTTTATTCATAAAACCAGATATATTTTTCTTAGATAAGAATGTAAATAATACTCTGTCTTTAATGAAAATAATAATTGGTCAGTAATTAAAAACTCAATAATTTTTCTCCCAGATAAGTTTCACATTGAAATGATTTATTCATCTATAGTCATTAACATAAAAGGAACATTATTTTATTATTTTATATGAAACACTGTTTAATGTATTTTTAATCTTTTTTTAGGCATCATTCTTAACAAAGAAGTTAAATATTGGTGGGAAAAGAGTAAACCTTGCCATATGGGTAAGTTAACCTTTTCAACTTTATGAGTAGAATCCTCTATCTGTTGTTGTTATTCTCATAACTAATTGGTTCAAGGAATAGGAATTTGAATTTCTGAATTTTAAAAATTTTTTTTAGTTAACTGCAGGTTAGCCAAAACTTTTTATTTATTTATTTTTAATAAAATAAATTTCCTATAATCTGGCTAAGAATTATATCTGGAATACAGTTTGTGTATTTGTATATTGCTATCATAACTTTTCAGCTGGAGAGGTGTCAACTTGAGGGATTCCACTTCAGAGAGAGACCAGGGTGGGTGGACAGGTTTACCTGGCCATTTTTCCCCCTGTGTCTCCATGTTCCAACCTTTTAAGGGAGTGGTTGGTGGGGAAAGTAGGGTGAGGGTAATGCAGTAGGGTACCTGTTGACGTGACGTCCTGGTGCATGTTCTCTTCCCTTGTTTTTTTCTAACTGTGGGGAACCTAAATTTAAGACATGGCCTATTCTTTGCTTATAATTTATTGTTGGTAAGTCTGACCCTCTGGCAACTGAACTGGTTTTTTAGTGGGAGTGGGGAGGGGGAAGTAACCTTTCTGTAAGAGTAAAACATTACATATTGGTTATAACTTGACTTAAATTTTTTTTGTAACCTGTTTTGTTTTTTTTAATAGTGTTTGGGGGTTATCTGTGACTTTATACCCTAATTTCCAATTAATCAAAAGTTTACTGTAGTTGCAATAGTAGATGTATAGTTTTCTTCTGATCTAATAAGCATTTATGGCTTTATTTAGGATACAGCAGGTCAAGAGAGATTCCATGCATTGGGTCCGATTTACTACAGAGATTCAAATGGAGCTATTTTAGTTTATGATATAACAGATGAAGATTCTTTTCAGAAGGTATTCTATTTACTTTATGGGTAGATGACTTAATCAGAATAACAACACTGATTTTTCAAATGTCCATTAATATGCCTTTGTTCACTAATGTAATTAGTTTGGGTTTTAAAAGTAAAGTGTATAGTTTGTGCATAGGTTGTGATTATTCATTTTTTAATTGAGTATTTAATTCATATAAGAGTAATTAATGGTTTATTGCATGGCTTTCTCAAATATTCAGAAAGGGCAATAATTAAGCTCAGAACAATATAAGGGCTTTGTTTCTCCATCTTAAAACCCACATACATTTCTTTGATTCCATACTGTATAAGTGTTTCTGTTGCTTATAACAAAAATACCTGAAACCAGGTAATTTGTAAAGAAACTCATACATGTTTGGAGGCTGGGAAGTCCAAAGTCCAGGGAACACATCTGGTGAGGGTCTTCTTTGGTGGTGGCACAGGGTATCACATTTCAAGAAAGGCAGGAGCAAGAGAGAGAAATAACTCCTCATGCCTTCTCCTTTTAAAACTCTGACCACACCCACGAACACCAGTAAACCATCAGATGGATTAATCCATTCACTACTACGGCATGGTCCTCACAATCTAATCACCTCTTCAAGGCCCCATCTTTCAATTACCATAATAGGACTTCCCACCTTCAACAGTCACAGTGGGGATTAAGCCTCTGTGAGTTTGGGGAGACATTCAGTCTACAGCACCTGTTGGGCACCTGAAAACTTGGTGTGGCTGAACAGGCTGCCTTATTGTGAAGAGAAAAAGGGAAGATGAAAATCAAGTATAAGCTCTTTCCCCTCACTAAATATTCTGGAGGGTATAATATAAGTTTTATAAGGACAATCTAGGTAGTGTTTATTTTAAAGTTCCTTCATTTTTTTACTCCCCTTCAAACTATGCCAAAAATGTAGGATTTCAAGTTTTGGGGACCAAAAATGAGTTACCATTAAACTTACCTCTGAGTTCTCATCACATCAGGAGGATAAGGTGGTTACTTATTTGACCTTTTCTCCTATAATGTTTCTTGGAATAAATTTGTCAGCAGTTTGTAACCAAAGGGTAATTTCCAAGGCAGAAGCTTTTCTTGCCTTGAGTTACAGGTTTGTTCTTGTTGAAGTTTGCCTTTTTTGTTTTTATTGGTTTTTTTTTTTAACTCTTCATTTTTTTCCCCTGTTAAAAATAGCGGAGCAGATACACAAGTTATACCTTGGGTTATTAATGATGTGGAAAAATTTAGTCCAAGGAGTAGGTTTGCACATTTAATGATTTTTAAAAGTTATTTTGAGACTGCTATTTGGTGCTGTTTGTTATTCCTTCCTGGCCTTTTGCATAAACAGAAAAGATTTAAATATTTTATTGATTAAGAGAAAGTTGAGTCTTTTAGGATAAAAAGTGGCCAGTTAACTATTTAATTACATAACAAAACCCCCAAAACTTGGTGGCTTAAAACAACAATTTATTATTTCTCATGATTCCGAGGGTTGGCCAGGCAGCTCTTCTGCTCTATGTGGTGGCGGTGGAGTCACCCATGTAGCTACATTGAACCGGGGGTTTGGCTAGGACTGGAATGTCCAAGAAGGCCTGGTGCTCCTCCATATGGCCTCTCACTCCATCTGGTGTCTTATCCTCTGATACTCTCTCTACCTGCTCTCTCATTATTCTGTATCCTAGCCTAAGCTTTTCATATGACAACTGGATCCCAAAAGTGTTAAAGAAGAATCTACCAGATCCCTTTAAGGCTTAAGTCTTGAACTGGCACAGCATTACTGCTGCCACTTCTCTTGGTCAAAGCAAGTTATAAGGCCAGCACAAATTCAGAGGATGGGGATTCAATCCTACCAGTTGATAGGAGGATTGGCAAAGAATTTGTGACCATCTTTAACTCACCACAAAACGTATGGGAGTGAGGAATAGGATGCCTATTGGGGGGGGGGGGGGGGGCCT